GCTGTCCTCCCCGAAGCAAGATCTAGGAGGGAAATGCTTTGTATATGGTACAGCTTGTTCCCCCTCTGCTGAGCCAGCGACCTCCCTGACTTAGTATCTTAAGGCGAGGCTGTGGCTACATACCGGCAGAGAGCGGTGAGCTTGGCTAGGATCACTAAGCAGGCTGAATAGTCTAGTTTCTTTGGGCACAGACCCACTTCTCAGGTTCTATAGCCACATCTGGACCTCTCTGCACTCTTCTGGACAGATTACAACTACTTTGAACTGAGGTGCTTGGAGGCTCAGAGATTGGTACCCTCCGAGGACCATTTCATCCTTGACAATAGCTTTAAGGTTCTTCTAAGCATCTTCCTATTCTGGATCTCAACTCTGTTCTCCACTTCCCTGTCCATCAGCTACCCCACTCCTCTCCCACCCTCATTTCTCCCACACGTCCTCAGAGACTAGCAGAGGCCTTGGCACATGGTGGGGTCTTGGATGTCTTTGACATTAGGTGAATGAATGAAGGAGTCATAATTCAAGTGATGATGATTAAGGCGATGGCTGCCATTTCTGAGATTCTACCACTTGCCAGGCTTGTGCTAAGTACTTTACTTGCAATATCTCACTTAACCCTCACAACAGTTCTAGAAAGTGGGTACTATGATTATCCTTGTTTCACAGAGAAGGGTACTAAGTACAAGAAGTTCATAGCTTGCCCAAGCTGAGATACCAAATAAAAGGTAGAACTGGGATTTGAACCCAGGTGTGTCTGACTGAAAATTCCATTTTCTTAACCAGTGTATTACATATAGTGCCCCAAACCAATGACCCAAAATCTTGATGGCTCAGAGGAATGAGAATCACATGAAGATTCAGGCAAAAGGTAAGTCTTCCGGTAAGATTGTTCTGTTGAAGGGTGTAGGTTGAGAAAAGATGGAGCAGCTTAATGATCCAGAGCACTTCCCTGGGGCCTGTCATTGTGCTATGCTTTGTCTGATCATCATAAGCCTACAAGGTATCTATCGTTCCCATTTTCCAGATGAGAAAACTGAACTTCAGAGCAGTTAAGCAACATGTCCTGGGTTACACAGCAATTAAGCAGCAACCTGAGGATCTGACTGTAGTCTGTCAGCCCCAGAGCCCATAACTTACTGCTCCCTACTAGAGCTGGGAATGAGCGACAGAAGGATGAGGAAGTGTTGACTGGAGAAAAATGCAACTGTGCAGTGGCACATGCACGCATGCACAAACACACACACCCCATCTCCTTCTTCCAGGACTAATGGGCTTTCTAAGAACCGTGGAATTTTACAGTCAGAAACCACTCACGACTCCCTCCATTGTACAGTTGGGGGGCTGGAGGCCAGCCCAGATTGGGCAGGAACTGCCCATGGTCATAAGCAGGTCAGGGGCCAACCAGCATGGCTCCCCACCAGCCGCCTTGCTACCCCTTCTCCGACTCTAGCCCCAAGCCTTCAGCTGTTGTCTGTGCAGCTCTGCTCCTTTTCCCAGGCACGGGGAAGGGGAGGTGCCTTCTGGGTATAAATAGCAGATGGAGATGCTACTCTTCTGCAGGGGAGTTAACTGTTGGGGCCCTGGACACAGAGAGATGCTTCCCTCCTGTGGGAGAAGGCATGGTAGCTGTCAGAGTTGGAATGTTCCTTACAGAGCATCTAGATCTTGCTGCTCAAGTGTGACTGGTGAGCCAGCAGCTTTGGCATCACTTCACAGTGTGTTAGGAATGCAGACCCTCAGGCCCCATCCGGACCCACTCAACTAGAATCTACCTTTCTTTTTTTTTCTTTAATAGAATCTACCTTTTAACAAGATGCCCAGCTGGTCCAGCCAGCCCTCTCCTTGCGAAGATGGGAGAAAGTGGCTCAGAGAGGGTAGTGCTCCTACCCAAGGTCACACAGCCATTCCCTGACAGAACTATATCTAGAATCTGCACTCCCTCCCCATCATGACTCAGAGCCCTGCCACGCAGTGATACAGCCCCTCAGCTGTGCAGGGACGGGGGAAGGGAGGTCAGGCAGCCAGGCGCTATTTCAGGGCCATCCTGCCAGCCCTGGGCTCAACCACCCCATGCAGCTTGCATTCAGTCCACTCTGGGGCAGGGGCCACCTTGGGGCTGGCCTGCAGAGGCTGGCACTGCAGGCCTGTGCTGGTGGGCAGGGCCATGGTGCCAGGCTGACTCAGCATGGGGGTAAGCTTGGGGAGTGGGCTACAATGGTCAAGGCTAAGCCTGGCCTATTTTCGTCTCTCAGAGCTTCGGAAGTTTTCCTGAAACAGCTTTTCTGAAGGAGGCTGCCGGTAGCGTGGGTTGGGAGGAAGGGCCCCTTCTTCACCTTCCCCCCAACCAAGCTGCTCGCTGAGGAGTATGGAAACCATGAAAGACACCCCCTTTGCCACCTCTATTTGCTGCCATCCCCAAGAAGAGAGCAGCTGCCCCCTTCCCTCAACAAACACCCACCAGGGCAGGCAAGGGAGCTGGGCCAGGCCCCACCCACACCCCTCGCCCATCCCCTATGCTCACCGATGTTGGGGTGCTTCAGCAGGCGGCAGATGCGGGCTTCACGCTCCAGCTTCTGGTGATCTGAAACACACAGATGCCCAGATGAGTCCAGGGGAGGGAGGCACCTCCACCCACCCCATCTCTCCCTCCTCACAGCCTCTAAAGACCTCTCCCTCCCAGGGCCTGGGCAAGCTCGCCTGGGCAGAGCCTCTGGGTTCTCCAAGAAGGCAGTGGGATGCAGCGGAAGAAAGGGAGACCCAGGCTGCAGTGAGGCACAAGTTCCTTCCCTGCTCTGGGTCTCGGTTCTCAGGGTTCTCAACCGAGGGGCATCTCCTGCCTGTATCAGAGCCAAACTCCAGGCAGCCTGGAACATCCCCACCCCCACATCAGGCTCCGACTGCCTCCCCCCCGCCCTGCCCCTCCCACTGCACCTCAACCAGGAGAACTGCTGAACCTCAGCTCTCCAGGCACACTCTGCCACTCTGGGACCTTCGCACACGTGGTTCTCTCAGCTTGGCAAGTTCCCTCTCAGCCTCCCACCTGCTCTTCACTGGCCATCATTCACCCCTATCCATCCCTGGATGTCACTCTCTCTGGCAGCCCACCCTGACTGCCAGCCGCTGGGGGCTCCTCCTCTGCGTTCCCTGGGCCCCTAGACAGCACATGCCACTCTGTCTCAGGGATGTCACTGTCCTTGAGGGCAAGGACTTGGTCTCTGTTGTACCCCTGGCATCTGCCTAAATCCCTGGCCCATGGAAGGTGCTCAAGAGATAACTGAATGGGCTTCCGTGGTGGCTCAGTGGTAAAGAATCCGCCTGCCAATGCATGAGACGCGGGTTCGATCCCTGAAGCAGGAAGATCCCACATGCCTCAGAGCAACTAAGCCCCTGTGCCACAGCCATTGAGTCTGTGCTCTGGAGCCTGGGAGCCACAACCAATGAAGCCCAAGCGCCCTAGAGCCCATGCTCTGCAATAAGAGAAGCCACTGCAATGAGAAACCCTCACACCACAATTAGAGAATAGCCCCTGCTCTCCAAAGCTAGAGAAAGCCCGTGAAGCGATGAAGACCCAGCACAGCCAAAAGTAAATAAATAAATACAATTTTAAAAATACATAAATAAAAAGATGACTAAAGCTAAACCTTTAAAAAAAAGAAAAAATAACTAAATGAAAGAACAAATGATTGAATAAACGAATCTTTCTAAGGGAGTGGGTATTCTCTGCAGGAGAAGGGTTGTATTAATTTACAGAAGATGCCTCCTTTGAGAGAAGTCAGCACCAAGGACATAGAGAGCCCCAAAGAATCTGCAGGGTAGACCTTGTCCAAGGCAGCATGGGGGCTTACCCAGAGATCTCCCACCTGCTTCGTGGGACTTCTGTCCAAATCCCCTAGATTTCCCTGCCCACCTGGGAGAGAGGCCTTGTTCAGGATCTGCACTCACGATCTCTGACTCTGAGACTGCTGAACACAATCATACACATGACCCCATTCAGTCCTCCTGACAAGCTCGGGCTATGGACATCACTGTCCCTGTTTTAAACATTTTTCAATTTCCTTTGTGGTGCTTTTCTCACAAGTTGGTATTTAATGCTTTAATTAAAAAAAAAAGAAGCCCAACAGTATAATAGGAGCCAGTCACAAATACAGAATATCTACTATGTGTCAGGTATTATGCAGAGCCCTTTATGTACATCTCAAGCCCCCCAATAATTCTCTGAGGATAGCGCTACCGTTGTGCTGGCCTTACAGAGGAGGAAACAGAGGTTCAGAGAGGTTAAGTGTCTGACTCAAAGTCACACTGCGGTGAGCGGTGGAGCCACGCTTTGTATCCAGGTAGTCAGGCTCCACGGGTGAGCTGTAAAATCCTGTCGGGGAGTTCCCCGGTGGCCAAGTGGTTAGGATTCTAGGCTTTCACTGCCATGGCTCAGCTTCATCCCCTGGTAGGGGAATTGAGATCCTACAAGCTACGTGGCACAGCAAAAAAAACAAAAAAAACCTCAAAAAATAAATAAATAAAAATAAAACTCAAAACCCAGTGCTCTCCTGGTCTCTATACTCTGACTCATCACTATCATCTCCATCTGCCTCCTATTCCCGAGTGGGAAAATTCAGGCCCACAGGAGGGAACTCAGACAGACACTCAGAGGTGGAGCCGGGACTAGCACCCTGCTCTCTGAATGGCCCTCCAGGGAAGGTGGGCACCAAGGAGGGTGATGAGGAGGAAGAAAATTCCAGCCTTGTCCCTAGTCTGCCAGCTCTCCTGTCCCCTCCCCTCTCTGTTAGCGGAATCACCAGCTATCCTCCAAGGGCTTCAGAAACCAAGATCAATACTGAAATGTGGCTTTTCCATCAGCAAAGCAATTAAGTCCAATCCTCTCTTGGTAGAGTGTAAGCTCCACTCCCCAGCTGAAGGCAGCTGCAGGCTAGAGGGGGACGGCTGGCCCAGCTGGGGGCATCCTCCTTTCTCTTCCCTCCCTGTCTCCTTCCAAATCCTTCAGGGTAGGGAGGTGGAGGGGAAGGAAGGTCGATTCCCAGGCAAAAGAGGGGGATCCCCACCCAGAGCTGGCCAAGAGCCCTCAGTAAGCAAAGGATGACTGAACCCTCTCCAGCTCCAGACCCTGCCCCTCACCCACGCATCCCCAGCAGAACCAAAAGCCAGGCAGCTCAAAGTGGGACCTATCAGAGGGGGAGAGGGGACTCCTAGCTCAGGCTACACACTCAGGGGACAAAGGACCTAAATCCAGAATTCTGATGTTTTTCTCCATGTAAGGTCACCTGGGAGCAGAGTTACACTAACAGGATTGAAAGAAGAAAAGGCTGGTCACACAGATTTAAACATGTGACTGGTTACCAGACGTCACTGCTGGAAATGCTAGGAACTGTTTTTATAAATCTTGTAATCATCTTGTGCATAGTACAATTACACTGCATTGCAAACTTCAGTGCTAAAAGCATTAATTTGTTGAATGTAACCATATACATTATACAATAATTTTTGTAACTCTGTTTGAAATGTTTTCATTGTCTAATATGCAGGGAACTTCAAGAAATATAGGGACTGAGTTCCTCTTGACCTCTGAGGCCTTGCTCTGTTAAGCAGTCTCTTGATAAAATCAAGGTAATCATCAATGTGGTCAAGCCTTGTTACAACTCAGAACTTTGAGGAACCACTCTTAAAAGCTCCCCCAGCCCCCCCAGTCAATAGTTAAGAGGGCACCCAAGGACTTCTTATTAAAATATAAATGAGATCCTGCTTTCAAACTTTCCAACAGCTTCCTGAAGTATTTATAATACAACCCACACCCCTCAGAAACTTCCAGAAAGACCCTGCAGGGTGCTGAGTTCTGCCTCATCTTGGCCTTGAAGCTCCCCCCACACTAGCCTCCTTTGTGGCCTCAGGCACTGCAAACCCCTTCCCACCTCAGGGCCTTTGCACCTGCTGTGCCCTCTGCCTGAAATACTCTTCTCCTGGGTCTTCTCATGGCTGCCTCCTTCTCCTCAAGCAGGTCCCAGCACCATGTCACCTCTTTAGCTTCCCCAGCTGCCTTTTCCTCCAGCCCTATCACACCCCCATCACCCTGTCTTATTTTCTTTGTTAACACTCATCACTACTTGAAAATACCCAGCTTACTTGTGTGTTTAATGCTCTTTTCAGTCTCCCTCCCTAGAAAACAGGTGCGATGACAGCAAGACCTTGACTGTTGGTCTCTGCCATGTTCCCAGGATCCAGAGTCATAAGCAGCTTTTCCCATACCCAAGAAGTAGCAGAGCTGGGATTTCAAACTGTGTTCGTAATTACTGTACTGTATTGCCTCCCATTTTCATAATTGAGAAATCAATCCATCCAGTTCAGTGAAATCCCATGATGGTGAGAGATCTGAGAGAAGCTAGTCTGCAGCCTCCTGCTTGGGCACCAGGAAGCCTTGCTCCCAATACTCATTGTGATAGATGCTTTGTGAATTTTCTCCCTCCCTCCCTGGGGGCAGACTTCCAGGGTGTTGGGGTTAAGAGGGCCAGCTCTGCCCAGAGCTCGGCAGGCAATGGGTGGGTGGAAACTCTGGGGAGAGGGAGAGGTTCCTGGGGCCAGACAGGACCAGCAGGGCATGACGGGGCAGAGCAGAACCTGGGGAAGCCTGAGGGCTCTGCCAGCAGAGTGAGTGGGCTCCAGCAGGTATGTGGGCAGCGGGGTTCTGGCTAGAGGCACAGGAGCCAGGGTAGAAAATAGACCTCTAGTCTCAGAACAGGAAATGTCCCCTCCCTCCACAGAACTTCAAAAAGCTTCCAGATCCTGGGCAGTTGGAGAAATAATCTGGAGGACCAAGAAGGGGGAAGGGGTGGGGAAGTAGATGAAAAAGACAAGAAAGCTGCGTCTCACTGCCTCCTTGCAAGCTCCCTTGCATAAATCTAAAGCTCAGGGATAGCTGAATGAGCTCATACCATGCTTCCCACCTGGTGTCCTGGGACTGGTCACTAGGGAGCCGAGGAATTGACCCCTCGGCGCCCAGGTGGACAGTGAGGCTTGTGGAGGTTGCTGGATGGGGGCCAGTCAACTCTGGCAGCACTAGCCAGGTCCATGTGCCCACCATCCCCTAAAATGTTGATGAATTCTTTCTGCTTGTCTGCCTGGTGAGGCTGTGGCTAGGAAGCTTCCAGAGCCCCTTGCAGGGAGTTAGCCCTGAGCGTCTACTGGCTGTTGTCACTGCTGACAGGACTTTCTAAAGGCAGGAACTGGGGCCTCACCTATTGAATCCCCCACTCTCAGGGGTGGAACTGGGGCAGCAGTAGCTTTCAAAAGGCTCCCAGGGGGATTTGGCAGGGATTGGGACAGGAAAATATTTTTACCTTTCATTTCATTTCTTTATGGCTTTTTGGAATTGTTTATAGTATGAGCATTTTATATAAAAAGAGTAGTTTAAAAATACACACAAAAATCATCTGCTGGGTTTGGGAGCCACTCAATAAAAGAGGCTGGCCCCATGGGAAAGGGGAAACCATAGCTCCCGGGGTGGGGGGTGGAGGACACCCCGGGGAGCTTGGCCCCCTGCTGGGAACTGCCAGAGTTACCCAGGAGTGCCAGCAGGAGAAGCTTGGAGTGTCTTGCCAAACATCCAGCATTAAAACACTCCCCACCACAGGCCGCAGGAGGGATGAACAAAGAAACCTGCTAAAGGAAGCTCTGCCCCTCCCCACGTGCAGGGAGAAAAGCATCTCAGTCAGCAGACTTCTTTGGGAAGGTTCTGAGACCCTCCCCCCAAGCCCCTCACACTTACCTAGGCCTGGGCACCTTCCTCCCAGGAGGTCAGAGTTTTCTCAAATCACCAGAGAGGAGGGCTTGTCAGTTACCGCACAGACCAGAGTCTACACTCCCCCAAATCCTTAGTTACCTTACAGAAAAGAGGCGATGCTCCTTGCATTCCCCCACGCGTGTTTCTTTCTGTCTCGTGCATGTGTGGATGTGACTCTGAGACTGTGGTGAACGGACCCAAGATTCCCCAGCATCCTGGGTGGACCCTGGTTCCTGATTCTCCTTCTCTGCAGTGGGGGATCAGGGGCAACCCAACCTGTCACCCCAAGCCATGGCTCTAGCCCTGCCCCTGCTGTATCTCAGGGATTGGGACATCTCCCTTGACCAACTGTGATATAAAGCACAGAGCGGGCACCAGACAGCCACTAGTCACACAGCAACGGCCAGGCGAGCCCCGGCATCCGGGTGTGAGGTGGTGCTCCTGCTGGCCCTCCTGCCTGCCCTGGCTCCCCGCCCCAGGCTCTGGCCCTGGGCCTTCCGCAGGGCTCGCCCTTCCACACGAGCATTCACACAGGCTGTGTGCCATGGCAGGCCCCGGTCTTCAGAGGACCGCCGCCACCCCAGCCTCTTTTCCCTGCAGGATGCTGATCTGTCTGCGGGGTAGTTCGGTAACTAGAAAGTGCCGGGCTCCCAGCGACGCTGAGCCAGAGACATGAAAGGCAGCAGCACTCGGTGCACACAGAGCCTGCTGGGAGGCCCGTGGGGGCCGATGTGAACATCCTGTCCCGGCCTCTGTGAAACCCACACCTGCTGGGCCCTGGCCCAGACAGCTGCCGCTATGCCAGACAAACACCTGGACACTCTGCCAACCCCCTTCCAGGCTGCGCAAGCCATGGTTGCACAGCCCCCTCCTGTACCTGCCTCACCCACCAGAATGCCCCCCACACCTTGGGGGTCCCTAAGGCAGCTCAGACCCACTGTTCAGAGTGGAGATCTTTGAAGACAATCTCCCCCAACGTGCTGGCTGTGGTCACCACCATCACCACCCTAACCACATGCTAAGGGCAAGGACATAGCTTCGGGGCAGGCACTCCAAAGTTTAAAGTCCATACAAATTACTGGTGTCTTGTCAAAATGCAGATTCTGATCCCTTACATCTGGAATTATGAATCTGCATTCTTAACAATCTCCTAATGATGCTGGTGCTGCGGGTGTAGAACCACATCCAAATTAGAATTACCTGGGGATCATTTCCAAAAACCCAAGTCACAGCCCCAGCTAATTAAATTACAACCTTGGGATGTGGGATCCAGGCATGAGGAATGTCTGAAGCTCTCCAGGGGATTCCAGGCTGAGAAGCCACTGTCCAAGGGAGTATTTCGGAACCAGAAGTGGACTGGCGCGGTCAAGGCATAGTGCAGCTGGTGTTCATGGGACGCTGACTGAGCACCCAGATATGTCCGGTACTGACCCGCGTGCTGGGCACATACAGGGAATGAGACCCATCCCCACCTTCTTGGTGCTCATGGTCATAAAAGAAGATGAACATTAAACACGGTACCAAACCAGTAAATGGGATAACTCCACACTGGAAGAAAGCTACAGATAGTAAACAGTAACAAGAGATATAAAATGGGGAGGTCACCCTCAGATCTGGGGGTCAGGGAAGTCTCTCAAAGGGTGTGACATTGAACTGAGACCTGAAGGCTGACAAAGAGCCAGTCTTATAAGGAGCCAGGTAAGAGCATCCAGGCAGAGAGAGAGGTAGGTGCAGAGGTCTGGCAGTGAGAATGGAGGTGAATGGCAGAAAAGCAGGGGAAGAAAGGCCTACTGGCAGCTTAATCTTTACCTGGGTTGGGGGATGAGGGGCAGAGAGCCTGGCCTGTGAGAGGCTATGGCATCCAATCTAGACCCCCTAAGGAAGAAACATGGAGAAATCTATTCTCATAGTACCCACAGGAAGAAGAGCCCCCAGCTCTGACAGCAACATCACCCAGGAGAGACCCAGGCCCCGGTTCTAACCCAAGGGATAGAGGGAGGGATGAAGGGAGGAGAGCCCCGGAGGGCGGGCCAGACATGGATCTGGCACCTACCTCTGGCCGAGAGCTTCTTTGTGTTGATAATCTTGGCAGCATATTCCTGGCCGGCTAGCACCTTCACACACCTGCGCACCACTGAGAATGCTCCCCTAGGACAGAGAAGCAAAGAGGGTGAGCGAGAGCCCCAGGGCTGCATTCCCAGGAGACCCCACAGTTCACGCAGCTGCTCTGTGCTGGGAGGGAGCCTTCCCTCAGGGCTGCTCGAGCTCCTAGGGGCTGCTAGTGGCACACCTCGGAGACAGAGCAGGCCTGGAGACCCATGGGAACCACTGATAGTAAATCGTTAGGAACTTGGCCTCGTGAGAGATGAGCTTCGTCCAGTCATATTAAGTTAGGCTCGACAAATTCTAAAATCATGCAATGTTAGAATCACAGAATCTAGGTCCCTGGAAAGTGAATCCACTCCAGTGTTCTTGACTGGAGAATCCCAGGGAAGAGGAGCCCTATGCGGTCTATGGTGTTGCACAGAGTCGGACATGACTGTAGTGACTTAGCAGCAGCAGGTCCCTGGAAGTTTTCAGCTTTTTATTCTTTGTGTAGTTAACACATTGACATGGTTCAAAGTTCAAAAGATACAAAAGTGTGGATAATTAAGTGACTCCTTCCCATCCCTATAGCCCAGACTCCAAGGTCCCCTGCCCAGAGGTGGCCAGTGTTACCAGAGCATCTTTCCATAGATACCTTCCCCCACTCCCCATGCAAATACTGGACCCTGCATGCTGCTCTGTACCCTCTTCTTCAGAAATTTTTTCAGAGATCCTCCTTCTATATTATCACATAAAGAGTTCTCATTTAATCATGTGGCTGTCCTATAATTTACCTAGCCAGTCCCCTATCGATAGGCAATTAGGTTAGTCCCAATCTATAGCTGCAGTCTATGGCTATGGCAAACAGTGCCGCAATGCCTAACCTCACATGTGTGTCTTAGAATTACATTTCCCATGACTTCCCTGGTGGCTCAGATGGTAAAGTGTCTGCCTACAACGTGGGAGACCCAGGTTCGATCCCTGAGTTGGGAAGGTCCCCTGGAGAAGGAAATGGCAACCCACTCCAGTACTCTTGCCTGGAAAATCCCATGGATGGAGGAGAGTGGTAGGCTACAGTCCATGGGGTTGCAAAGAGTTGGACATGACTGAGCGACTTCACTTTCACTTTTTATGAGTACAAGTGTCTGCAAATAAACTTCTAGAACAGGTATTATTTGGTCAAGGGTAGGTGTTGTTTTCCCCTGGAGAAGGAAATGGCAAGCCACTCCAGTATTCTTCTGGAAAATCCCATGGATGGAGGAGAGTGGTAGGCTACAGTCCATGGGGTTGCAAAGAGTTGGGCATGACTGAGCGACTTCACTTTCACTTTTTATGAGTACAAGTGTCTGCAAATAAACTTCTAGAACAGGTATTATTTGGTCAAGGGTGGGTTTTGTTTTCCCCTGGAGAAGGAAATGGCAAGCCACTCCAGTATTCTTGCCTGGGAAATCCCATGGACAGGAGCCTGGCAGGCTACAGTCCATAGGGTTGAAAAAGAGTCAGACATGACTTAGTGACAAAACAATACAAAGGTGTTGTTGGGTACTTCTGAAAGATAATGAGAAACGATTCATCTTAGAGATGTACCAACTTTCATGCTAATATGTGAGGGGACCATTTCTTTCTGCCTTTGCCAATACAACATGTGATCAAACTTTTATATCTTTATTAGTGAGACATGGAGCACAGTGACTCAATGTAGATTTAATTTGGAATTCTTTTATCAAGAGTGAAGCTGAACATTTTTTTCATGTGTTTTTAGAGGTTCCTGGGTTTTTATCTTCAAAATATTTGTGGCTGGAAGAACTTGAAGCAAGGGCTGTGGGTTTCAAGGCTCATAGGAGACATTGTTGCCATGTGGAACGTGGCCCATTTTCCATGTTATTTGATTTTTCAAGAAAAACCAGAATTCTGGATATTTTAGTGACATTTCCCAAATTTTAAATACTGGTTGCTGCTGCTGCTGCTGCTAAGTCGCTTCAGTCGTGTCCAACTCTGTGCATCCCCATAGATGGAAGCCCACCAGGCTCCCCTGTCCCTGGGATTTGCCAGGCAAGAATACTGGAGTGGGTTGCCATTTCCTTCTCCAATGCATGAAAGTGAAAAGTGAAAGTGAAGTCACTCAGTCGTGTCCAACTCCTAGCAACCCCATGGACTGTAGCCCACCAGGCTCCTCCATTCATGGGATTTTCCAGGCAAGAGTACTGGAGTGGGTTGCCATTGCCTTCTCCGTTAAATACTGGTATCTTATTCCAAAAATTTAGCTCCCTGTGTCATGCAGGAAATTTCCAAGTCTAATGCTCTGTGACAACCTAGAGGGGTGGAATGGGGTGGGAAGTTCAAGATGGAGGGGACATAGGTATACCTGTGGCCTGATTCATGTTGAGAGATGGCAGAAGCCAACACAATACTGTAAAGCAATTACCCTCCAATTAAAAATAAATAAATCAAAACAAATTTAAATGTAATATTTTGCCAAACAAAACCAGTTTGAGGACTAGATCTGGCATCTAGGTGCCATGTTATACATTTTACTACAAACATCATCTGGCACAACTCCTTCACATCACAAAGGAGGCCTCTAAGGGGCCAGACACTGCCCAAGCTCTATTACCACCCTAACCACAGGCTAATGGCAAGAAACAAGTCTCCCGTGCAGCCTTCTTCAGTTTTAATGTGCATATGAATTACCCAGACATCTTGTTAAAAGGCAGATTCTGATTCCTTAAGTCTGAGGCGGAGCCCAAGCTCAGGGGAGATGGCCCAAGGTCACACAGCTAGCTACAGGCGGTGCTGTGTTTTGAACTCAGATATTTACAGCCTCAGATTTTGGGCTTCTCCACCCAGTGAGCCTGCCGCTTGCGGGCCTGCACACCCAGGTTCCTGACATGGCCATGCCCCACCATATCTTCCAAACTTTGATTCCCTCTCCTAAGCACACAGGCAGGTCCCAGCTACACAGATGCAGCTGATGGGAGCAGGGGCGGACGCTGGCAGGCACTGAGGAAGCCTGCAGGCTGGCAGAGATGCCCGTTCTCACAGGCCCCAGGGTGTTCTGTCACTGGCTTCGTGTCTGAGCAGCATGAAGGGAATGGGTGGGAAACTGTGGAGAAGGATGAGGAAGAAAGATCTGGAAGGTGGGCTAGAGGCCAGGAAATACGACCTCGTAGGGAAGCTGGGGAAGGCCAGAACTCACGGGCACAGCTACGGACCGCGGTCCGGCTGGGTGGCTCTGCCTGTCCTCCACGTGGAGGGACCCGCCCAGAGGGTCTCCCTCCCTGAGACGCACCCTCCTGTGACACAGCACACCACACCTCCCCACCTAGCCCAGGGCCACGGCTGCTGTCCATCCTCTAGACAGAGTTCCTAAGGACCAACAGGGCCTCCAGAAATGTTACTATAGGAACAGGAGGTAGATTTTAGTGAGAGGGACTGAACTTAGACAGGGAGAGGGCTTCAGTCTGGGGGGTCAGAAACAGGACCAGGTACTTGAGGAAGATGCCCACCCTACTCAGACTTCCTGCCCAACGGGAGGCCATGATTCTCAGAAGCCCCAGAGGAGAGAGCGTGTTTCCAATGGCCCCTTCTGGGAAAGATTCTGAGGATTCCAGGGAGCGGAAGGGCAAGAAAGGAGGGTTTGTCTCATTCACCGGCATCTAGCACATGCATGGGGCTCTGTGCAGAGGCTTAACAGGCTCCATGAACCTAAGCTCTACCCCAGGAAATGAGGACCAGAGAGCCATGTCTATACAATGAGAGACGTCATACTTGCTGAACTTCCTCCTCACAACACAGTGTCAAGCTTTCGTGTAAATCCCAGGTTCTAACCCAGGTGGCTCTGTGGCAAAGAATCCGCCTGCCAAAGCAGGAGATGCCAAAGACGCAGGTTCGATCCCTGGGTTGAGAAGATCCCTTGGAGGAGGAAATGGCAACCCACTCTAGTATTCTTGCCTGATGAATCCCATTGACAGAGAAGCCTGACAGGCTGCACTCCATTGGGTTTCAAAGAGCCGGACACAACTGAGCACACACGCGTGTAGAGGGAGGAGTTTATCAAAACCAATTCAGAGAACACCAGACTCGAGCATCCCCAGAAGGTATCCTCCCTTCTAATGTACCTTCACCACTAAGCTCCTCGGCTCTCACAACAACCCCTGCAAAGTTGCAATTACGATCCTCCATTTTTTCAGGACATGAAACTGAAGCCTCGAGGGAGCAGGCATATTCTACCCGAGGGTGTGACAAGATTCCAGGTCACCTGTCCTTGTTCTCCTGATTCCACCAAAGGCAAGACAGTGTGACCCCTCAAAAGCAGGGGCTCGCTCACAAAGCCCTGTGATCTGATCGTGACTGACCCCCAGCTGTGTGATACTGAACTTGGCACTTCAACTCTGTTTCCTCCTTTAAAATGGGGACAATAATAATACCTCTGTCCTGGGTTTTTGGGGGAGATTAAGTGAGGCAACACACACAAAACACTGGGCACAGTGCCAGGGTGCATTGATCACTGAACAGGGCAAGGAAATTGTCTGGGCCAAGGAGCCCGTTTTCTACCTATGAGGCTTCAGGTCTTCATCTACGAGTGGAAAGGCTCCTCCCTGCCAGTTCTGGTGCTGGGGATCAGGGAAGGGGGCGCAGAGGAGAATCTGTAGCAAAAATGAGAGTGTGGGCAGCAAGCTCGCAGCCCTAACTTCCTCTCTTTTTAATCTTTTGTTTAAAAAAAGGCATGTTTCTGCATTCTCGTCCTGTGGGAGTGAGTGGCCACAGCCCAGCAGCTTTGGCAAAAGGAAGAGCCAGCCCACTCCTCCCACAGCCCTGAGTTGAGCAGGTGGCCAGTGGGTGGGTGGGCAGAAGCCTGGAAACAGGACAGGGCCGAAAAGGGGAGGAGGCCAGGATGGGGAGGGCAGAGTGGGAGAGAGTGACCAGGGGTCCAGGGAAGAAGGGATGGAGCCTGCATAGGAGGGCCCTGGCAGGTGGGGGATGTCCTCGGGTGGATCCTGGATACAAAGGGTTCAGGGGCACATGTCTGTCCACATGTGTGTGTCAGCAGCTTGTCAATGCCC